GAAAAATGGAAAAAAGAGAGGGAGAGGGAGAGAAGAGGGGGAAAAAGAGAGGGAGAAGAGAGATAGAGGAAGGATGAGGGAGAGGGGAAAGGGAGAAGAGAGGCTGTAACACCAGGGATGTTCAAGGCAAATGTCATTATCTAGCCCCTGGCGACGCTACTCTGTCGGGGGAAATGGCGCTCCCGTCTGCTTCCCCTGATTCTCCAGCGTTACTTTTTCTCGGTCTTTCCTTTATTCACTATCTTCTCTCTCTCTCTCTCTCTCTCTCTCTCTCTCTCTCTCTTTATTTGTCTGTCTACTTATATATCTATCTAGCTATCTGTTTATTTATCTATTTAACTTGTATTCGCATTTGCTGCATGTGTGTTTTTCTATTTTATTTTCCACAATTTAGGGCATTATTATATTAATTTGTGTGCTTTACACACTCTCTCTCCCTCTCTCTCCATCTCCATCTCCCTTTCTCTCTCCATTTCCCTTTATCTCTCCCTCCCCCCCCCCCCCTCTCTCTCTCTCTCTCTCTCTCTCTCTCTCTCTCTCTCTCTCTCTCTCTCCCACCGTTTACAGCTGCACAATCCCGCTCCTCCCATCTTTCTCCCTCCTAATATAACCATTAGGGTCTGGCAGCAGAGTGAGAAGCCTCTCCCATTAGGAACCCCAAAAAGGCAAAAAACAAAAACAAAAAAAGGGCGGACTCTAGCTGTGGGTGGCGGGGCCCCTTGAGTGGAGGGTCAGCTCATCTGTTAATTAGTGAAAAGCCTTGACGGTCTGAAGATCGAGCCGAGAGAAATAAACGGTGTTACTTGATAGAGCTTATCATAAAAGGGCGTCTGTAATATATGCACAGTTTTATAGCTATTTATCTGTTTATATGTGTGTGTGTTAATGTTTATGAATATTTAGTATATTCATCTATGCATATATATATATGTCACATCAATCCTTGAGATATTATTTTGTTATAGATAAATTGATAGATAGGTAGTTTGGTAAACATGCCCGCTCTCTCTCTCTCTCTCTCTCACACACACACACACACACACACACACACACACACACACACACACACACACACACACACACACACACACACACACACAACCACATAAACACACACACATACATATATATTCAGCAGAGATATATACACTCACAGGCACGCAAGCAATTCTAACACAGAGGACGTTAAGGCGAGACGCTGCGTGGAGTCGTTTTGCAACTACAGTTTTTTTTTCTCTCTCTCGAATGTCCTTCTGTTTTGTCCTCGTAATAGGTTTTACAGGCTCGGTGTTCGTTGTATCGTTCGTGTATTTTTGATATGGGCAATGATCAAATCTTCTTTTGCATTTTTATTATCTTTACTAACGTCATTATTATCGTAATCGTATAAAAAAGTATGATGGTTACCCATGACCATTTTATAGCGATATTATTGCCATTAGTGATACGATATAACAATATAATCATTGTCCTCATTACCACAGTCACAGTCACAGATGCCGCGAATATTAAGCCACGAAACCAAGACATCTCAATTCCTGCACTAATCGGCTGATAAAAATAGTATCCACCAATATCGCCACACTTGCACTTAACTCAATTCAAAGCTGGTGTAGCCCGAACCCAGCTTGTGTTTACTAGTTTAATCAAATTGTTAGCTTGCATATATTTCCTTTCCCTCAATTGCCTTCCAACGTAATCTGCATCTCTTCTATACGACGTAATGTGTTACGTTGAGCAAATTGAATTTCAGTCTGTAATTCTGCGGGGAATCCAAATGTAACATAAGTATCTTCGGAAACATGAAGCGGATGAGACAGAGAGGTTAGATTAGCAGTTTATGGATATGTGTGTGTGTGAGAGAGAGAGTGAGAGTGAGAGTATGTGTGTGTGTGTGAGTGCGTGTGAGTGAAAGTGCGCGCGCGCGTGTGTGTGTGTGTGAGTGTGTGTGCGAGTGAGAGTGTGTGTGTGTGTGTGTGTGTGTGTGTGCGTGTGTGAGTGTGAGAGTGAGAGTGCGTGCGTGTGTGTGTGTGAATGAGTGAGAGTGAGAGTGCGTGCGTGTGTGTGTGTGAATGAGAGTGAGAGTGCGTGCATGTGTGTGTGTGTATGCGCGCGTGCGTGCGTGTGTGTGTGTGCGTGTTTGTGTATTTGTATGTATGTGTGTGTACGTATGTACATTGAGCGATCCATGCGACCAAAGCGAAATATGAAACACTTCTTATCTTCTCACGCCAAATTATAAACACTTAAGAGCCTCCTCCAAGACACACTTAGAAACACTTACAACCACAAAGTCCGAACAAGGAACAAACACAAGCGCAAGAAGGAAGTGTTCGAGGGATTTTCAAGCGAGTTAACGACGCCTGATTCCAAAGCACAAAATTTCTCAAATAACAACAGCAATTCAAAGCAGAAATAAGAAGGAATAAGATTAAGAAAGAGGCTGAAAGGAAATGAAAAAAAAGGGAGAAAGAGAGAAAAGAAAAATCACGATCATAGATAATAATAGAAAAAATAAATAAAATAAAGAAAACTAAAAGAAAAGTGGAGAAAAAAAGAAACGAGAAGAGAAAGATGGAAAGAAAAGAAAATGAAACAAAAAACTTTATTGTTCTTTCCTAAGAAACCTAAATTCAACGATGAAAGTTTTCTTTTCATAAAATTGGTTAATTAAAAATTTTATTAGACTATTTTTGTATGATTATCATTATTGTTATCATTAATATACCATTGTTTTTTGTTCTTGTTGTTACTATTATCATTATTATCATTATGATTTTTATTATCATTATTCATAGCACTATTTTTTGGTATCATTATCATAATAATTTTCATTATTATTATCATTGGTGTTATTATCATTATCACCATTACTATTATTACTGACATCATAATCACTATGATGATTATCATCATTATCATTATTATTATCACCATTATCATTATTATCACATTATTTTTAGCATTATCACTATTATTACGATTATTACTAGTATAGTTTTCATGTTGTTGTTATTGTCATCATTATAATCGCTACTCCTATTGTTTAATATTAGTATCACTCTTACCGGTCAAGATTGTTATTATCATTCTTATAATTACTATCATTTTAACATTATGAGTTTCACTATCAGTATTACTATTATTAACACCATCATCAATATCAATAGTAACACTAATAATAAAAACAAGAAAAGCAACAACACATCTATAGCAATGACGTTAACAACATCGGCACTTCAATCCACAACACCAACCAAATAGTAATAAAGAAAATAATAACAACAATAATGATAACAATCATACTACTACTAATAATGATACTAGTAATAATGATAATAATAATGATAATAATAATAATAATGATAATGATAATGGTAATAATGATAATGGTAATAATGATAATAATGATAACAATAATAATAATAATTATTATTATTATCATTATCATAACAATAATAGTAGTAGTAATAATAGCATTAGTAATAGTAATAATAGTAATAATAACAATAATAATGATAATGATAATAACAATAATAATAATTATAATAATGACAACAATAACAACAATCAGTGACAATAATCCTAACTATAAAGGTAATATTTGTAATGATAATTATCATTATAATAATAACAATAGTTACAATAATAAGAATAAAAATAAAAATTATAACAATGATGCTACCAATGATAACGATAGTAATATAAGTAATATCAATAATAATAATAATAATATTAACAATAATAATAATAATGATAATAATAATAATGATAATCATAATAATAGTAATAATAATAATAATGACAGTAACAATAGTAATAATAATAATAATGACAGTAACAATAATAATAATTATTATTATAATGATAATATCAATAATGATAACAATAACATTTATTAATAATAATAACAATAATAATAATAATTATTATTATTATTGTTATTTGCATTATTATCATTATCATTATCGTAATTTTTATCATAATTATCATTTCTATTATTATTATTATTATCATTACTATTATTATTATTATCATTATTATTATCATCATCAATTTTATTCTTTTTATCATTATCAATATCATCATTGTTATTAGTATTATCATTTATCGTTATCATCATTATTATCATTAACATGGTAATAATAATAGTAATAAAAAAAAATACTAACAATAATAATGATAAAGATTATAATAATCGTAATCACAGTCATGGTATCAACAATAATAGTAGTAGTAATGATAATAATAAACACATTAATGATAATAACAATAATGATAATAACAATATAATTATAATAATAATAAAAATAATAATAATAATAATGATGACGATAATAATTATAATAATAATAAGTGTATGCTAACATGATAACAACAACAACAACAATAATAATGATAATGACAATAATGATAATAATAGTAATAATAATGATGATAATAATATCAATAATAGTAATAATAATAATAATAATAATAATAATAATAATAATAATAATAATGATATTACTAATAATAACAACAATAACAAAAATGATAACATTAATAATAATAGCAAAATAGCAATAATAATAATAATGATACTAATCGAAATGATGCCAATGTTAATAAAAATGGATACAGATAACGATAATGACAATCATACTAACGGCAAGAGGCGTGACAAAGGCTAAAGCAGCAATAACAACGTAACGCTCAGTGATTCTCTTTGACCGGCAAGTGAAAAACGGCTCAGCATGTGTCCTCGCAAATCCACGCAAGGAATAGTCAATATCATATAACGATATCGAACACGAGCGAAGACCCAGCGGGGAAGGAAAATCGCACTTATAGTCATATCCTTTTGTCTTCGTTAGCTTCGTAAAAGAGAAAAAAAAATATAATGGTCTTCGTAGTATTTACTTATTGCGTGGGGATGGGAAGATCGCAGGCCTATATATATATCCTGTTGTCTTCTTTAACTTTCGAATACAAACAATTATGATCTTCGTAACATTTACCTTTTGCGTGGACATGTTGGGCAGGCCAGGTCAGCAGAGCGAGGCCAAGTAGGGTCACCAAACCCAGAGGTCGTGGGGGTGACCTGGTCAACATCTTGATAGGGTTGGATGTGTCACGTAAGTAACTGGTGACACGGTTCGGATTCACTGCTTCATGCACTAAATGGGGGGGTTAAGGTAAGTCTGTGGTTGCGTAGGTTTCTTGAGAGAAATGGATATAGCTCACTACACCGGCCTGTTCACTAGCCTACATTGTAGTGGCTCCTTCGCTGCTTTTCATTTCTAACATCATCTAGCACGTTCTACTTGCGTTTGTTGGTCAAAATAGCACTAGGATAAATTATGCTCAACTGTTGTTTTCCTTTTCAAACACTCTTTTGATGGTCTTTTATCTTTGTAACAACTTTTTTCTACATTTTACCAAATCACCGCTTAATTGAAATAACAAACCCAAACCCAAAACTTTCAGAAATTTGCGAAGGTTTCTCGCAAGAAGAATCTTGCGCGACAGTCCTTATCACTTCTCGGCGACTGACGATAAATCCATTCACATCTCTCGAGAATTCCCAGGAGCGTAAACCGGGGAGTCGCGGCTTAGCCAGCGGAAGGAGGGTGTCGGAGATCCGAGCGCAGCACTCTGCCTCACGTCTTACTCGACCCAA